TTTGGAGGACTTTGCCTATTATGTAACAACTTCCTTTAGAATTTACCAGACATTAAAAACTAGAATAGAGAAACAGGCTACTTTTGGGGTTCACTACACTAGATGCTAATTTGCATTCTAAAAAAAGAAAAGAAAAAGAAAATAAACATGGATTTGTTCTGCAACATGCTACATAATCTCTGTGTTAAATATTCACTTTTCTTTAAAAGGCCACCTTCGGCTGGTCTGAAGGCCCAATGATCTTTCACCCATACTGTCACAGGGGGAACCCCCTGCAGTAATCTTATGCAAGGAATGAACCAGTTCAGCTGACTCCATTGCACTGCAGTTCCATCACTCATGGTCAGGCCTGGATCCCCCAAAGCAGTCCCTTAGTAGAGTAATTTTTTGTAGACAGGGAGAAGATAAAGCAAAAAAGAGAATTGGCAAGGTTGGGGTTGAAGGTTTCTCTCAAAACCTGAAGGGAATTCAGCAAACTGTAATGTTCCTTGTCAGCAAGAGCAGAGTAGGTGTCTTACAGTGGTTCTGAATACACAGCAGGAAGCATTCTTGAGATGGTGAGAGCAATACAAAGGAAGCATGCGTGCTCAGGGCTGCTCTTAGGTGAAACTTGGTATGCACTGAGCTGAAAGCAGGGTAAACCCTGTTGGCAGAGGTCCTGAGAATAACAAGGAGGTAGTGTAGGCAAGGAGGCAAGCCCTTAGGCAGCGCTATAGTTTGGAGATGATATGGAGAAACACGTATATCCTGAGTAAGCACCAGGGGTTGGAATGCTAAAGCAAATACACAACATTTTAAAAAAGTATATTCTCTCTTATACAAGCTGTCTAGAAATGAGCCTGGGGACTCCTTCTGTTCCTTTTCTTCTCATCTCTTGCCTATTGCATGTCCTTAAGAGGGCAGATCAGTATTTGGCCCTTTACAGCTTAAAGAATGATCCAGGGCTTTGAAGCAAAGAACAAGTCACAAACTTCATGAAGTGTTATTTGCCTAAAGTTTACGTCTCTATCAAAGCAAAACCCATTTCAACAGAAGATTCAAGGGCATGCCTCCTCTACATGCATTATCTCCCTGCCAAATTTAGATTTTCTATCCCAAGGTACTTTAGCAGTAGCAATTTCCATAGAAAAGTTGAATTTATATTTCTTACAGGAGTTAGCATATTTTATTTTGTCATTTTCCCTATGCTGCAAAGTGGCTCAACTTTTTACAACAAAAGTAACTTCACTCAAGCTATAAAACAAAAATCATCCTTGGACAAAGATGAGCTTTGGAAAACATCACCCTGCCAAATGAAATATTCAGAACATTATGGCTAGGGACAGATATTACAAATCAACGGTATAAGTGATTGGAAACCAGTTCAAACCTGTAACACAAAAGAAGTTCAGGGCACCTAAACCACTTTCAAAATGGCCAAAACGTGGATGGATGTAGTATCAGACTTAACTGATTTAGGTTAACTTGGTTTATTGAACTTCTGTCCCAGATCCCCTACTTTTCAAGTTAACTCATAGTCCCCCAGCATCCCAGGGTGCTTTGCATATCCATTGTAAACCCCACTCACAGGGTGAGCAGGTTAGCCTTGTCTGCTCCAGCTGAGAAGGTAGGCATGCTGTAGCACCCTCCAGCTTCTTGTCTGAGCCATTGCAGGCATGTAGTTGCATTTCCAGAGTCAAAAGTGAATGTCTGTTCACTGGCTTATTGGTTTAATCTACACAGTTTAGACTAACCTGTAAAGACTGAATCAATTCAGTCTTGGGCTTTTTGACTGTACTTAGCCCAAGACTGAGTGAAAAGAGAGACTTACAATAGACATGCATAAGTGATCTTCATTATAGTTATTTCTAGTGCTTGAGTGATAATGAGGCAAAGCTTTTAGTTTCTAAAAAAAAACTTATATAGTTTTATGTACATACAATTTCCATTCTAAAGGTCTTTAAAAACACACACACACATAAACATAAACACAATAAACTAAAGAAAACATGGTATACCCTTTGAAGGAACAATTGAATAGGGTCCATTCCAAGACTCGGGAATGAGAAGATTTTAACAAGCATCAAAACGTCACCATTTTTTATTTCAAATACAAGGGAGAAATGGAAGGAGAAAGATACAACTTAATGATTTTTTTAAAAGTGCTCAAATACCATGGTCAGAATTGTTAAAAATGAACCGGAATGGAATAGAATAGAATATTAGTAGTACCTACTTATTAATTCTAGAGAAACTAAATATTTCAAACTGAATGCTTTGGGATAGGATTTTAAAAATAGTTTAATGTTGGCCTAACTCATTTTTTTCCCCTGGAAGCTAATAGGAATGACTACTTTGAGAACAAGCCGGTGCCAATACATGTGTAAACCCCACTCTTGAATACTAGTCATACACCCCAACTTAGAAGCTACTTGCTTAGGCTTCTCAGTTGCTTAGTGTTCTTAGTCTTTCTAAGTTATTGTCTCACTCTTCAGGAAATACTTCTGCTAAATTCACTTCCCCTTATTCTCTCCTAGTCTTTCTTAATGCATAAACTGATGAATTTGTAAACCACTTGATTTCATGAGAGGAAACTAGGGTCCACCCATCCCTAACTGGGCAGGACAGTCCCAAAATGGGAACTTCAAGTCCCAGTCCCAGGCTACATGACTCTGGGACAGCATTTGACCCAGATTCACAGCATCATGCAGGGATCTATGGGAAATGGTAAGTTTCCCTTTGCAGATTGGCAGCCTTTCAGTCTGCAAGGGGATGCTTGGGGCTGGTGGGAGTGTGGGGAGCACCACGTGCATGTGCACACCCACACACATGCATACAGTTGGGAATACAGCTGGGCAGTGTGGAAAGCAGTTACCTGCAGGTAAGTTAATGGAGGCATATCAAGGCCCCCACAGTGAGGGTGAGGTGGGGCAGGGGCTGGGGGTACTGCCCAGGCAGGGTGGTACATGGGCCTGGTGCACGGAGTGGGACCGAGCCAAAGGTGGCTTGTCAAGGGGGAATGGGGGCAGCTCCCCACCACTGCATACAACCCTTGGGGGGCATGGGCTGCACGTGTCCCCCCAGATTTGTGTGTGGGGCATGGGCAGATGTGGGCTGCCCGCTGCAGGCTCTGGGCTCCCTACCATGTTGCCCTCTGCCAGGAAACCCACACCAGCTGTGTGCCCCCTGCTCATCAGGCAGCAGCAGGGGTGATATTGGCATGGAGTGGTGCCCCCCTGGTGCTGCCAGGCAGGCAGGGTCGTATGGTGTGGGGCTCCCAGGGGAAGGGCAGCAGGACAGGATAATTTTCCACAAATAAAACCTACTTAAATTCATCCTCAAATTTCAATCCTCTCCTACTGTTATGGTTAAGAAAGCAGTGGCAGGGGTGCAGCCAGTGGGGGGACCTGTGTGCCCTGGTGCCTGCTATGCAGTGCCTATGCCCCTTGTTACCTGCCCCCTGAAGCCTCTGACTCCTGCCTATGCCCTGAAACCTCTTGTCCCCTGCTTGTCACTGAAGCTTCTGCCACCCCCATTGCCTCTGCCCTCCCCTGCAGCCTCTGCCCCCTCCTTGCCCCATTGCTTATCATCCAATGCAGCTCCAGCCCCATTCTGGCTCAGGACATGGAGCATAGGATAACTCTGGTTCCTGCCCCACCCTGGTCATTGAGCGGCATTGTGGCAGGTTGTGGCCCAGCTAAGGTTGGAGCTCCACACCATGGGCTGGAATGGGGTGGGGGCCATGTTGGATAGTAAGCAGCAAGACAACAGAGGCTGTGGGGTGGGGTGGGGGGGCAGTGCAGGCACACAAGGGGGGCTGACACTGTTGGGGATGAGGGCAGATGGTTGCTGCAAATTCAGCTAACTCTGACTCTAGGTCAGGTCCAGAGTTGGAGTTGCAGCAGCCACTTGCCTCTTCCCTCCACACCCTCAGCTTACTCAAACCCAAGACAAAGGGCATTTCCTCCCCATGTTGAATTGGGAGAAAACCTCACTTTGTATTCAAGTAAATACAGTACTAGGAAAATGGCCCCTTTCTCACGTTATCTGCAACTGGAGGCTGTAGCCCATATTATCACACATGAAGATATATTAAATAACTCTAAGTCTTGTCCAATACATGCATCATTACAAAATGAGAACTACAGAAACAGTGAGTAATCTGACACTAATCTTAATACACTATTAATTAGCACAGAGCCATAACAATTCATTTTTCATTGCTTTGCAACTTTTGCAGTCATGATATCTATAAAAAGTAAGTACCCTGGCACAGATGACTATACAATTTGCAAGACTAAAGAATCTGATTCCCAAAGTAGATATGTCTATTTGAAACTTTCATGAAACGTTTTCTTTTGGATAGAGATGAAGAATAGAGAATTTTTTATCCCAAAGATACATTTGAGCATGAAGTGAAAAGTGGATGTATTTTGACCATAACAACAGTTTCCACCATCTCCCCTATAACATATGAAACATGTTCATGCACACCTCTTGAATAGATAGACAGTGGGTAAAAATACAAAGTCTAGACCTGCTGTCTATGCTTGGGCAAAATGCCCAGTAAAGGAGGTAGAGGATTTCCCTGAATAAAAACTGGATCCATTACTTTTTTGTTTCTTCATTCATGTGTGTGTTAAAGGCCATCTATCAACAACTGCGGCTGCTATGCTGCAATGGCTAATGGACTGACGTGACATATGTGAAAAGCAGCTTCTTAGATAAGTACCTTAATAAACCTGTTTTTAGGTCTGAGAGATTCTTACGGTCACAGCAAAGAATAAGGATAGGTCTATTTTTTCCTTTAGATAAAGATGTGTATATTTTATCCACAGAGTAGCTGAAATTAGTATCCTCTTCCCAACTTAATAACCCTCTTTAGTCTAGGGTGCCTTTATGACAGTGAATAAGATGCTCACTATTAGTTTACCACTAGTCTTCATCAGTTTAAGAGATTCTGGCAATTGAATCTAAGAGAACCCCCTCCCCTTTCTGTTTTACACAGTTCCATCTGTTACCTGTATCCATGGCCATCTGTCATTTTCTGCAGCAGTCCAAGCATTCACAAGACCCTTCTTATTAAGTCTTGCATAGTACGGATACCACTTCTGGAGCCCAAAAAGAGCTCGATGTGTGGATGATGCAGTGATTTGTTGGTTTGATACAATTCCTCCTTCTATTCCCAGTGGGCCAGAACATCCTGTAAAGAGAACCATGAATAATAATGAATACAACTGGAATGCTTAATTATTCAGAGAGTGATGAGTGACCATGCCTAGAAAAATTCAGATTAATGGATCCAGGCTACCATTGATCAAAATATATTACTACAAGTGATTTAAAGCAACTGAACAGTATTTTATTAGGAATAGAAAGAAGCAAATAACAAAGAATTCTTCTTTAAAAACTAACCAATTAGATGGAGTTCATTTCCCTTATAGGGTCTGTCTTCCATAAACATTTGAAAGTTTGTTTTATGAATGCAAATATTCAAAAATGTAAATCCTGCAACTGAGCACTGAAATATTTACTAAAAGCACATTTCAATTTTTATAATTATTGTAAAAGTCCCATCTTGCAATTCGTGCTACTTAGTTTCCTGGTCAAGATGCTGCAAATTGTAATTGAGTATATAATTAGAAATGTATTTTATGTTGGCTAGTTACATTACTGGTAATAATTCTGTATGGATACTGTCAATGAAAATTATTAGATTTGTGTGCTGCCAGTACAGGAGAGTCGATCCTGACATGTGCAGACAGCCTAGGCTGCATGCCCTCTGCTCGACCCCTGGGCCTGTCAGTCATCCGTGACCTACTTTTCAGCTTCGCACATGCTCAGTTGCCCACAAAACCTGACCAGGCGCATGCTCAGTCTTTCTGCAGCATGACATAATCTGACTAGAAATTTCTTTGCAGGATAGGATCTGATTGGCCACTAAAATT